CTGAAAAGTTAATCAGTTTCCCACGTTTGTTTGTTTGCCCAAGCAAACGGAAAACTTTGGACAACTAAAGATTTACGACTGCACTTTTTATTTGCTTTCGGTGATCGTTTTGTTTTAGCTTCACTTGAGTTTTCTCTATGTAAATTAAGTGCCGTCTACCCTTTTGTTGTACAGCAGAATTTTTTGTTTTCTCTTAGACTCTTGACTTTACTGAAGCAAAGCGGATATAAATGGTCGTCCATTAAGAAAAGAATTTAAAAAGTTTTTAAATACACACATAAAAACGTATGCAGGACAGATTTGTCTTGTCTTGTTTTTTAAACTTTTGTGTCTTTTCTGTGCAAGACTTACGTCGTGCAGCCACACCACTTAATTTTAATTTTACTTTTATTTAAAACTGAATACTATTTTTAAATAGTTTTAAAACTTTTTAATAGTGAGCCACTATTTTTGTAGAACAGTTAAGGAAAAAAATGTAGTTGATAAACGTAATTGACTGCCTTTCTAAAGTTGTCATTCTAACTTAGAACCCGCTTTTTTGTCTGAAAAGTTTAATAAAAACGAAATCCGGAAAAAGGGTAATTGCATCAAGGCATCCGCATCAGTTGCTTTTAAAATTACAGCTTAAGTGTCGGTGTCAATTTTCTATTTCCTTTCTTTGTTTTGAGAATGAAAATCATAAAGTGAGTTTGAATGGAGTTATCAAAGACCATTACAACAACACAGACTACAGCCAACCTTGTTGCTCCTACTGTCACCACTTTTGTGTCCACTTTTTGCTTTAGTGCCAATTCACCCTCACCCTCACCCTCACCTTAACACTAATCGACGGAAGAACCTTAAACTACTTAATAGTTGTCACTTCTAAGCAAAAAGAAAAGAGAAAGGTGACAAAACTTGCACTCACTCACTCTGTCTTTTTCCCTTTTTTGCAGGTTTTGGTGTCAGTGCCACATTTAGCGACAATCAGCTGTTTTAAACGCTGTTTAAGGCACACACGAACACAGTTTTCCTCTTTATTATTATTTTCCCCTCTCACAATCGGTTTCCGGCAAGGTCAGCAGCACTGACTAATGCCTTAACTTGATGGACACATTTGCTGCTGCCGCTGCCGCTCTCACTGGTGACAATGACTGAAGTTGTTGGCTTGTTTGCTGGGCATGATACTTTTTTCTCCCGTTACAACCTCTCTGTGCTGTGTTGTTATACTTATCGAGTTCACTCAGGCTTGAACGGGAGAGAACGGGAGAAAGAGGAAAGTAGGAGCCAAAGTGGGAGCACTAAGCCAATTGTCATTAGTGTCTGCCTCACTTGTTTGCTGCTGCTGCTGCTGCCGTTGCTGGNCAGGCTTGAACGGGAGAGAACGGGAGAAAGAGGAAAGTAGGAGCCAAAGTGGGAGCACTAAGCCAATTGTCATTAGTGTCTGCCTCACTTGTTTGCTGCTGCTGCTGCTGCCGTTGCTGGCGATGGTAGCCCCTTAACTTTCGATTCATTAGCCCTGGCCGCAATTGTGTGTGATTGGGTGAGAGAACGAGTGAGAGAGAAGGAAAGAATTTGTTTGTTTGTCTATCTGTCTGTCTGTCTGTCTGTTCGGTTGAGCGTTTGTTTGCGGGCTGTTCAGTTGTGTTGATTTGGTAAGCGACCAACAATAGGCCAAAAGGAATTGAAATGAAAGCCTTGTCAGCCTGGTGGTGGTAGTGGTGGTGGTGGTGATAGGCAATTTCATAAGCGGCCAGTTTTTCAGCAAGTTTGTGCAAACAACTAAGAAAGAGCAGGAAAAAAGTGGTGCAACTTTTCAATTTGTACGAATCTGCTGAAAAAGAAGTAAAGACGGCTGCAAAAGTTCTAAACATTTTTATTTGAATCATTTAAAGTTTAATGTTTGATAGTTAAAAACAAAAAGGGGCAAAGTTGACAAACAAATCTTCTTCTCCTTTTACTCAAACTTGGCAAATGGGCCATGATGCTCTTGTACGATTTCCACCTGATCGATGACTTGCAGTGGCTGAAATGTACAAAGGGTAAAAAGTTATCAGTTTTGAAAACTTTAAAATCTAAAGCCAGACTCTTACGTAGTCACAAGTACAGTCGTAGATGATTGCCTTCTGCTGGTAGACCACCGTTGTTCGGTTAACAATCTCCAGAATGCCGTAGCCAAACTGAGAGTCGGCAAAGGCGTTCCAGTCAGGTCGAGGGAAGAACTGGACGTCAATCTTCTCAGGGCATCCCTGGTTCGTAGTTAAATTAAAGCATTTTAAAAAACTAATTACACAACTTTAATTTAATGCTTTTGTTACCCCTGCCCCGGAGACAATGTACACTGGGCCTTTTGGATTGCGATAGGGATCCTCGTACGACTGTACGGCCCGCTTCCCCTTGTACATTGGATACTCGCGTTCGTAGTTGTGGATGTGCGCTCCAATGACGATGTCCACGCCCCACCGGTAGAAGATGTCCTCCAAACCGTCGCGAGTCTACAAAAAAATATTTGGATTTTATAAAACATTTAAATACTCAAAGAAAGGTACTTACTTGTTCAGCATCAGTCGTACAGGAGCCGTCCTGTCTTGAGCTGGAGCAGTACAGTGGCTGGTGGCCAAAGACAATGATCCACGGGTGTTTTTTCCGCGCTTCCGGTTTGTTAGCTTCCCTTAGTCGGTCGATTAGCCAAGTTTCTTGGTCATGCTGTAGTGTGGTATTTTTAAACAAATAATTGTAAGTGTCTACATAAACTTCCATATTAATGGAAATGACTAGCGCCGGTCCAAGATAGAAGGCGTAGTAGTGGTTATTCCAATGCGGGTTATTTTGAAATTTATCAATCGAGTTGACCGTCTGGTCAACCATGTTAAAACGGTGCAGATAGTTTTCCAAATTAGCAGTTCTAATGTGAACAGCAGTTTATTGATTGTTTTATAATTTAGCCATTTTATTTTTTACATACCCGTTTAAACCTGTACATTCATGATTTCCTAGGCTTGTCTGAAAGGGCATTTTTGTAGCAAAATCTTCGATCAGGCGCATAAACTTGTCGCCCACTGTTGAATTGTCCTATTTAATGTGTTGAAAATTAAAAACTTTTAAAAAATAAAAATTTTAATAATTACATCGCCCAAATCATAAGCCAAGTCGCCATTGTGAAAGA